ATTGACAGAATAAACAATTAAAAAAATTTTAAAATATTTTTTAATATTATAATTTTTTAAGATATATATTTTTATTATTAAAAAAATAATAAAAAATTCGTTGTATATGTGTAACACCAGAGACACTGGCCTCTTTGAAAGTGTTGTCTGTAAAAAGTAATTTTTAAAAGCATAATATTTTTAAATACGACCCATTCACTGTTCTGCGCGTGGTATAGCCGCCGCTGCGGAGGTTGCAGTGAAGATCTGTATCGGGAGCAAGAGCGGCCTGGCAGTGAGGTGAGCTCTGTTCGTACAGCCGAACTGAGAGCGCCGCGATTATGTACACTGTTTACCGGATGTGTATAAGCCTCTCTCTTCACTGCCCATCTCTGTGAGCTCAGCTGCTTAGTCTATGCACCTGTGAATTGCTGTCAGCAGAACTGCTATGAATGTGCACGTATAAGCTGCGAAGCGCTCCGCGATACAAGTTTGCTCTTTCCTTGCCTCAGAACCAGCAGTTCTAAGTCTCTATTTCCTTGCATAAAGTTTTTAATGTGTGTGCACATTTCGAATAGTGTGGGTATGGATGACATCGACCCTGTTCTATACCCCAGAGCTACCCGCCTATTCAACTTCTCTAAAAACTGGGCGGTTGGTACCTTTCATTTCTCTCTATTGACTCATCGGATGCTTCGCGCGATTTTTCCTCTCGTTCCATCCTATATCCTCTGATTGCTAATTGATAGCTTTGACTTCATTCCCAGTATGTTGTGGTTCAACGAAGATAAAAATGCGTGTCAATGCTGATTACGAAAGAAGTAATTTCCTCCCTCCCTCATGATACGCTGTCAGAAGCGACAACGCTCACTCCTCGTGACGAGGGAAAACTTCTTGCATGACTTCTTGCATGACTCGAACATCCCATGCACGCTGTCTGGAAAATAGAAGAACATTTTGTGGTGAGGGGCTGGATTGTGCATTAACAAGAGGGGTTATTTTCCTCGGCTGCCTTGTCAAGTACTCATATTAATATACCTTAATTCGTCGGGAAGGAAATGTTCGTGTTGCAAAAGTTCAATGAAAGGTTTTTCTTTACAGTTCAACGCAGTTTTACGTGAACTGAAACGTGTGAAATAAATTGCATGGAAACGGCTGCATGTAGGAAAAATATAGAATGCAATTTCTCTGTCATTATTTTGTAACTATATTTAAATTTAACATTCACAAGAAGTGGAGTATAAAATGTACCTATTCCCAGTGCGTGACAAGGATCTATAACTCGTGTCTTCCTGACGACAATTGAGTGTTTTATAATATCCCTGAGCAGGATGTGTCCTAATTTTAGAGTTTCATTATTTGATGAAATGACAAATGAAGCAACGTAGCAAATTAGCCAGACCCACTCTTATCCTATTAGGTTTCTTCTGAATATTTACCGTTGCGGGCGCGATCCTCGTGTACAGACAGAGCCTAATTAAGTCTCCCAAATTAGCAACCGCTGGTGAGTTTTGACGTCGGTCATGTTTGGTCGCCAGCAGAAACACAGTGAGGAGTATTTCAGAAGAACCTCTCATTACGATGTTGAACAATTAATGCTCAAACTTACGGAAGGAAGTTTGGACTCGCAATTAAGTTACATTCAGTGGTGAAGTCCAGGTTTGGAACTGCTGGTGTGTGCAGGAAGGACATCACACGCGTATAAATCTGGCTTCGCCCGAACTGCCTTTTCAAAGCACCGCGTCTATGGAATTGGTTTTTGATCGTTTGCGCAGTTTTACTTTCTCGACTCTCTATATTGCTTTCTCGTGTTAGATGTTCATATAGTCGTTACACTTCATGAGCAAGGCGATCCATTCCTAGCCTGTAACAATCGTTGCTTTAGAGACAAGATATTTTAATATAAGGATTCATTGAGTCCAAAACAATTAATAATGATTAGTGAAATCTAATGATTACACACATTCTATGTGTTTCATTATTAAGTTAAATGTAACTAAGAATACCGTCTTCAATATTATTAAGTATTTAGATTAGGTTTAAAAAAAGCTTCAAAAGTATTAGTCGAATTTAAGTATTTAAAGCTTCAAGAGTATTATTGCGATTTAATTATAATGATCATAATCAATAACTGTAATGCAATGGCTATTATCAATCTGTCCGAATAGATTGCATTTGATGTCCTAACAAATTAAATGCAAACATGTAATTTCTGTCCCAGCCGCTGCTCAATCGCCATGTCTGTAGAAATATGCAGAAGAGATAAAATGCAAGTTTCCTGTTATAATTTTCAAATGGAGATCTTGAGTCGCGGCCTCGCTCGGCAGCCAAAAATCTGAAACTCATCTGTGGTGCTGGAGCTGCAATCCAAGCTCCATCATGGAGGATTAGCTTTTTTTGCCCGCCTTCCTGAATAATTCATCGCATCTCCACTCACAGTCCTGAACAAATTGGGCTCTCCTGTGCCGCCTCGATGTATCATTTTAATTAGCCTCAACTCGCGCTTCACTGAGGAGCTCACGCCGTCTGCCAACACAACTACCAAAACTTCTCTTTTAATAGTCCAGACACGAGCACTGAAATCATTGCCCGCTCTTCTCGAATTTGAAGTTCCCATCGCGCAGATAATCACTCTGATTTAATTTTGGAGACCTCGGAGAAGAGAACTTTGCGACTACAACGTAAATTAACTAAAGACCTGCGTGGAATTTCAGTCGGATACCGTTGTACGGACTTCTTTCTCTGCGAAATATAGCTCTTCTCAAAATTTACAATACTTTTTTTGCTAATTTTATGAAGTTGATTTTTCATTTTTTTAACGCTTCTTAACGCTGGAATGATAGGGTTTTCTTGCCGCTTACTTCTTGTGTTTAGCGATGTGCATGCATGCTTGTCTCTATAACTGATCTAAATCCGCGTCAATGCTATATTATTTAGTTAGTATTCTCTGTCTAAATGATTCTCAGTATGGTTAACCACGCACCAATTCGTTGTATTAAAAAGTTAGGCCATTAGAGGTACAATGTTTGAATATCAGTTAAATGGGATCAAGGAATGTCCGTTGAAGCCACGTATAAAATTTGTTTTGTCTTCAATTACACTGATCTGTGTTGATACTAACACTCAATTCTAAATCTCCTAATTTCACTGAATCACAAATTTCTAACGTGTTTTGGAATTGTTTTAACACAGAAATGAGCCCATTAATACTGCTAATTTCTATGTTTAACTAATCGTTGATGTAATTTCAATTGCAAGATGTGAAACAGCTGCTCGTCCTCATCCGTGAGCGTGCTGAGCTATTTCCAAGCGTTTTCCCAGCTACAGGATATGATGTACCTCTTATAGTTCGTGCTTTGGTCTGCTACGCCATTCCCACTATATGAGGATATCTACTTCAAGAGCGCCGCTGCGCCACTCAGTTTTGTCATGCACGCTCTAATTTTGCACGTCGTGAAGGGAGCTAATTTATGTACATGTGACTGATGTGAGTAGCTGCATAAATCGTAAGTTCATTACATCAATAATGTGAAAACAAAGAAATCGGTAAATAAATTCACCATTTCATTGAAAGGAATGTGAGTTAAACATTAATTTATTTTTCCTTTAGAGCACTGATTTTATTCTAATATATATTTTATGAATATTCATATATTTACTCTACCAGGTTTTTAGAACAGAAAGACGAAATAAAAGCGAAATTGTAAAAGGCGTTGCAGTTCAGTCTTGGAAGCTTTCACTCTATCTCTCCTCAACAAAGAACCGGTGATGCGAGCAGCAATGGATTATATTCGAAGAAGTCGCAAATATTTAGGTACATAGAGAGCTTTTTATCGGCTGCCCCGAGGCCGATTACTGCGAAACTCTCAAAAGTTACTGAGAAAATCGAGTGCCGTCATTTTTTACCTGCAGTCGTTCCAGCTGCAGTCGTCAGATGCAGAGAAAAGATCACGACGATCGTCTTGAGATCTCTCTGTTGGTTTTGCGGAGATTTTGCCTCGGTTGAGATTTTAGGGCTGCGCGGCGAGCGGTGCTCGAAATAAGTCGTGTTTAGTAAAGCGATTAGGAGCATCGCGCCGGGGCTTAATTAAACTCCGCGGCATACCAGCCGCCCTTATATACATAACTTCCTGCAAAGGTCCTTGTTGCTCCATCGATCGCAGCAATCTATCTAAATCTCCTCCTTCAGCCAATTCTCATCTCAACTTACCATTCCTATAGCTCCGATTCGCCATTACAAAAAAATTTCCCCCGATGCTAAAAATTTAGTGGTAGCTCTGCAAAAATATGGTCGAATTTTGAGGTCTCCATATATTCCAATGCAGTGTCATGCATGCTTACCTGGCCGGAAGTCATACCGGGCTTAGTTACTACTTTGAATATCATATTTTAGGTCCTAAATGTTTTGGTCTGCTTCATATATTAAGTATAATACCTATTATTTTGTGTCTTGAATATATTAGTCATGTTCATAGAAGCATCAAATTAATTGAGAAGGGAAAGTTATCACATTTAAAATTGTGGCTGCCATTCAATATTGGAAGTAAATCGTAGTAAATTTATGTTTTTTTAAATCGACCTAAAATAAAACTTTTCAAATTTTATGGAAAGATTCTTTCGCAGTTCCCTAATTTATTTTACACTGCTTTCATACGCTCCACTCTCTACACCAATCGTCAAAAAGTATTATAGTGAGGTTGTATAGACATTATGAATGGTTTATTTATTGCTTTCGGAAACATCAACCTCGTCGATGCTTGTCGTATCCCAAGGCCGGATGAGTATAGTTTTTCGTCAGCAGATTTGGCGTTATTCTTACGGTTTCACCAACCTCTGCCAACGTTATTCGTACCTCATAGACTGTTAACTAAAGTTTCCCAAACGTTGGTAAAGAGTTAACCATTTGCCTACGTAAATGAGTACATTAGTGATTTGCCAGGGATTTTCGTAGCCAATGTTTGGTGACTGCAGATTTCAGTAAATAGTTAAGATATCAGTTTTAATACTAATAGAGTACTCACCCCTGAAGCGCACTTCCCGCCACGCTCTATGGAAGGTCCTGGTGAAGCGCGAGTAGAGGCTCTGAAGCCCCCAGCCGGATCTTGCTGACGCGGTTTTGCGGGAGCTTCGTCGTGAGTGCGGCGACGAATTCACTCTACGACTACCCTCGTCCACCGACGTGCTGCCAGAGCCCCGCGACGAGCTGGGCGAGTTTGTGACGTGCGACAGATCCTTGTGTTGCCGCCTGTGAATTTCTGGAGTGTCAGCAAGTCTTGAGGCTTCAGTGAACTCTAAATGCTCTGCCATACCTCCCCCATCGTCGTCTCCGATGAACACGTCTGACTGGTACGTCATGCCTCGCGACGTTGAGTGCATTATGCGTTACATGTTGTGCTTCTCAGCCTGATCGTGCATCATCCCACCTTACAGCAGTACAATTCATTTCAAAAGGTTCAGTGCATTTTTTATATAAGCAACTGAATCATGTCTTACGTAAATAGACACACCGCGTTGTTGATACATTCACTCTGAAGCGATCTCTTCTCGCCTCACTCACGATTTTAAACACTTTTTTTTATTCTTGCCTCAAGTGTTCTATAATATACACGCAGATTATGCCGCGCAATAAATTGGTTCAGTTCACCAGAAACTAATACAGTGTTATTGTCATTTTTATTTATTATTCAATCGTATCTTTGAGATTAGAATCTTTCTTAAAGAACTAGATCTGAATCATATTTTTTTTAATAACGCACAATCTACAGTGCTTAATGGGGCCACGGCCGCGATTGGCGAGGGTGAAATGTGGCCTGCAAATAAAACATGTTTGTTTATTATTTAATTGCGCTGTAATTTTATTCTATCAGCTAATCCACCACATTATTTAAAAGAAGGGTTATTTGAGAAGATAAATGACGCTGGTAATCGTGCATATTTGGTCGCGCTTGGTGTTTACGTTACCTAAATATAAAAGATAAGGAATATATATGGGGGTCGGACAAAATAAGGGAAACACCTGACATTTTGATATCGTAAGTTTTGAACATGTTAGAACCTATAAATGACAGCAAACCTCTCTGACTTTCGAAGAGGCCAAATCATTGGTGCTCGTATGGCAGGTGCTAGCTAGTGAGACAGAAACTTCCCGAATGCCTGACGTTTCTAGAAGTACCGTCTCAAAAGTAATGACTGTTCTTGAAAGAGAAGGAAAAATGTCCACAGCAAAGCACAGGTCTGGCCGAAAATCGAAGTTGCCTGAGAGAGACCGCCGTCGGTACCTAAATCGAATTGTGAGGGACAATCGAAAGACCACGGCTGTTAAAATTACTGCAGACCTCGATGGTCACCCATAGAACCCAGTTTCCATAAAGACTGTCCGCCGAGAGCTGCACAGATCTGGATTCTATGGAAAAGATGCAATTAGAAAACCTCATGTTTCAAGTATAAATAGTTCAAAGCGTTTAGAGTGGTGTAGAAACCTCCCGAATTGGTCCCTCAATCATTTATAGTCGATTTTAAAGATGCAAATCAGAAGTCGATTCCCGCTGCCATCGTCTTTGAAAGAACTGAAGGGAGTTTTAACTGAAGAATGGGTTGAAATTCCTTTAGAAATAATTCACAATTAGTATGAATTAATACCTCGGAGAATTGAGGCTGTAATTGCCGCAAAAGGTGGACCTACAACATACTAAAATATATTTTGATTATTTGTCAAGAGTTACCCTTATTTTGTCTAACCACTGTATATATACATAATTTAACAAAATGAACATTGAACGTAAAATAAAATAGTACATAAATTTAAAAGTCTTCCTGGACATTAAAGTCTTTCCAGGAGTCAGTTCACAAAATACTGACTCGTCTTGAGCAACGAAGGCTTGAACATTAGGAACGTCTAGCAACTAATTTACTGCACCGAATGACGGCCTGAGATTACCGAGTTGGATTACCGACGCCCAGTCCCTGGTAATTGTGTCCTCGAGACCCTCATCACTTTGAGATGCAGGCGCCATTGGTGGGCCTTGCTTGTATTGAGAGACGACAACACTTCAGGTCCAGAGATAGGGTCTGCCTCGTGGCCGTCTCGTCGAATATCTCTAATTCAATTGCGTGACTCTAATGAGTAATTTAAAAAGCGGTAGAGCACTTTACTTCAAAAATTTAGTTAGCAGATTAGTAATGAATGATCAATTGTTTATTGGCTGCTATTAGAAACTGCATAAATGAACATATATCTAATATAATTTATATAAACGTCGTTAAGCATGGGAACTTCGTGTACATTGCTGTCAGGAAGAGCTGAGCTTGGACGACGATGTCATTTTCTTGCCATCCTAAAAACATGGCGCGTGATAAAATTCTGTGAAGCGAAGAGCTTGGCGCTGGAAGCGGTCAGTGAAGCGGAGCACATTCCGGCAGCAATTGGGCGCCGTGTTGCTGACTCAGCGAGGTATTTGCTGAGCGCGCAGTTCTCGCGCGCAATTTATCCGTGTATTTGCTTAGCGTGTCGCCCCGCAACCGCCGGGCTCTCCCCTCCAAATTATGTTTCTGCCTGCCAGACTTGCGCTTGAACACGTCTCCAATTTCAGCCGCAAACTGCATGTGTTCTCCCATCCGCTTATGTAAAATTATTGGCTGGAATTTTTTTTTCTGGTTTTAAAATTATAACGTCGCTTCCTGAAAATGGATCAAACGTTAAAGTTTTGTGCTCATTTTTGCAGCTTTGGTGTGCAGGCCTTTGTAGACCTGTAGTGCTTTCACGATTGCAGGATGAAATGCTGTTAGAAATCCACTGTCTCATGAATTTAATTTATTTCTAGCAAGTATCCAGTATCTACTTTTGCCGATCCCTGCCAGTAACTTCAACGGAGATTCCTAAAGTTGCCGAGTCTCTCCCACAGTATATGTTAACGACTTGGAATTAAAATTCAGGCGACCACGAGCGATAAAGTTCCAGGAAGGCTCATTCGGCACCTGGGTTTGGTTCGCAGCCATGTTCCTAGGATCTAACTCAGAATTTTACTATGGTAACTATTAATGTTATAATTTTAGCTCGTTTTTATATGAGGATTTACTTAAATTTCCTGACAGACGGCAATCCTATTCGGCCGCTTGTGACGGTATTAATTTCGCATTGTTACAGTTATTCGATATTTCGACTCTAAACTTTGATACTCAAATGACTGACTCTCGTTTGCCTCCATCAGACTTTTGGCTGTAAATAAACTAATACGGTATGATTTAGGCGCGAGAGTGACTAGTGATGCAGGAGGTGGTGAGTGAGACTGGTATGAAGGTGGTGGTGAGTGCGATGATGAGTGGTACAGGAGGTGATGAGTGCGATGAGTGGTATACAGGAGGTGGTGAGTGCGATGATGAGTGGTACAGGAGGTGGTGAGTGCGATGATGAGTGGTACAGGAGGTGGTGAGTGCGATGATGAGAGGTACAGGAGGTGGTGAGTGAGATGATGACTGGTACAACAGGTGGTGAGTGCGATGATGAGTGGTACAGGTGGTGGTGAGTGCGATGATGAGTGGTACAGGAGATATCAGCAAACTAACTAAACACATACGACGTGCGCCCACCGTCCACGCCTGAAGCGTTGGCATGCACATGCCCAACGGCAGGATAAAACTCCACCAAAACCCCAGCAGGCGCCGAGCAGTGGATCGTTGGAGCGCCGAGTGCTCGCGGCGCAGCGTTAAGTATGCACGAGCTGCATCGATCAAAAGCACTTGTGTTGCGTCGCTAGCCATTCAAGAGGCTCGCTCTTCAATATTGCCAGGCCCGTTAGCGACTACTAGAACCCACGCTGTCACTTGGCAATAAACGCACCGTTAGATTCGATCAAAAACAAAATTGTCCTGTGCAAATGGAATGACAATTTGGGATGATTGACGGACGGCGGTCAAGGCTTTGCTTGTTATTGCTTTTAGGTTTATTGGTCGTGTTTCTATTCTCTCTTTATTCGATGCTCCAGTGGAAATATTTTACGTGCTGCATGTATATGTGGATTCCACACAAGATGTGTTAATCAAGAAAATGGTTTGGAATTAAAATTACAGCATATGGTTATTTACTCGCTATTTTTTGCTTTGCTTCCTTTCAAGTGAACTAATAATATCTATTTAACATATCATTTATTGTTTTATCAACTAATATACTCATCATTGGTTTGACAGCATGCGATTTTGATGCTTTAAATCACCATTTTACGAGACTGCGTAAACAGACAACACTCCGAATTGTGTAGTTCATGCAGAATTGGTAGCGAGGTCTCATCCAACGTATTGTTCTCTTGTTCTCACAATAACGTAACTTGTGCAGTTATGTTACAACAATTAACTGCCTAACTCAAAAGCTAACTCTTTTATTTTTATGTGTACGCTCTCATCTAGAGCAAATGTGTATGCCCAGCTTAATTAAGAAATTGATCTAATCGAGACCTTTTTATGTCTGACAGGCAAAAGAAAAAGGAAAAATATCAATCCAGCAGAATACTTGATCAGATACTCTCTGTAAAGTTCCTGTAATTCCATTATTCTCATTGTTTATTTTAAAATAATTTTCATAGTCAACTGATTGATCTCTACAGTGCATTTTGTATATAGGATGTTTTGAGCACCATTACATTCCAGTGAGGAGGTGGCATGACAATATCACGCAACCTCGGCCAATATTGCGCCTAGGTTATAAATGAGCGATAAGCTTTCCCGGCCGTCGTGCCAATATCCTCCGCGCTTCCTGTTATTTTTTGTCCGACCACGGGATCGCTCGAGGCGTATGTGCGCCTTTTGTGGTGAGGTGGCACTCACGTTGTCTTTTCGATAGATAAAATGCCGAATAGCAGGTGTTATAACATAATATATTGTCGATTATATAGTTGATTTTTATACTGTTTTGTAATGATTTTTAAAGATGCTGGGCTTTTTGTGATATTGCGTTAAGGAGATTAAGTTGAGTATATGAGTAAATGCCTTTGCATTTATAAAAATGTTTATACGAAATACTCTAACATTACGCTTCATAAATCCTGCGGTGGCAGGAATTTTGTAATTTAATATTAAGATCTTAATTTGAAATTGCGAACCTGCATTATATAGTTAAAAGAAAATCATCAGCTGTAAGCTTGTGCGAGTTGCCATGACAACGCTACACTTGACACTACTTCAAATGGAAATGAGACGGTCATGTCCACACAGAACTGACACCTCGCTGATGGCGGGAACTATTCTTGAGGGCCTCAAAGTGGGACTGATAACGCCGATCCAAAAGGGAAGTCCGGGGGACAGACCACAAAATTACAGACCTGTGACCTTGACCTAACAGGTGATGAAAAGGTTTTCGGAAGGTAGTGGCCAGAAGGTTTGCTCAGTACACGGAAGAGGCCGAACTGTATAATACCGGACAATATGATTTTCGGAGAAATTTTTTCTGTTTGTCGCTGTTATTTTAGCACCATCTTCGCCTTGTGGCCCTATACTGGATGGAGAAGGGAGCTGCGCGTAGACGTGGTATATACCTGGATTTTGCCAAAGCCTTCAACAAACTTGACCATGGGGTACTATTCAGAAATTGAGGCTGTAGGGGGTAGGAAGATGCCTGATAGGGTGGATCTACAACTTCCTTACAGATAGAGTACAAGATTTCGCAA